GGAAAACCAGCTTTGGGATTTTCCCACTGTCCCACCATTGGTTTTAGTTTTCCATATGGAAAACCAGCTTTGGGATTTTCCCACTGTCCCATCATTGGTTTCAGTTTTCCAGATGGAAAACCAGGTTTGGAATTTTCCCACTGTCCCACCATCGGTTTCAATTTCCAATCAGGAAAACCAGGGCTGGGATTTGAACAGTCCACGGGATCAGTCCAGGTCATTATGAGGAAAGAATTGGGACCCTCGGACAAAATTCCCACTGGAATTTCTCCACCTGCAGCCCCCAGGTCCCACCGTCCCACCACCACTTTTGATTTCCAGGGACTTCCAGCCCTTGGGACACACCAGGTCCCTTCTCACTCACAGATTTATGAGAGCAAAGGCCTTGTAGATTAATTAAATATTAATTTGCATCTATATACAAATATAATCAATATTGGGTTAACTTGTAATGATATATAAATATAATAAACATTTGTATATGAACAATATCTATATTTATAGATAAATATATAAAATATATGAATGTACTATCTATAAATACAGATATTTATATATTGTGTATTTATATATAACTATAATCATTATTATATATATGATATATAAATATAATGAATATTTATTATTTATTATATCTATGCTAAAGACCTTATAAATTAATATAATGAACAGAACTATTAAGACCAAAGGCCTTAATAAATTATATTCATTAGATAATTTATATAATACATATATTCATTATATATTATATATATTATATATATTATATATATTATATATATTATATATTATATATGTATTATATATATTATATATTATATATAATTAATTTTAAAATATTAATTATAAATTATAATTATTAATTTTAAATTATATATAATATATATAATTAATATATAATATATAATTAATACATAATACGAATAATATAATATTTTATATATAATATATATTATATATTATATTTTATATATCATATATTAATATAATAATATATTAATATATACAATATGTTAATGTATAATATAATAATTTTATATAATCATATATATTATATATAATTCATTATGTAGTATTTATATTATAAATATAAATGAAATATATTACATATAATAGAATATATAATATATATTAAGATATCTATTCTATAGCAATTAACCATATTAATTAACAAATTAATTCTCCACACCACAAGGTCCCACTCGGGCAGAATTCCTGGGAATCCCCCCAAAACCCCCGTGTTTTTGAGAGCTGAGGGTGAGGTTGGAATCACTCACAGCTTCGTGCAAACAGCGGAGGAATTCCAGCTCCTGCTTCAGGATTTCCACCCTCACATCCAGCTCCATTTTCCCCAGGTAGGCACTGTCCAATTCCTGGGAAAAAAACCCAAATCCATCATCATTCCCATTCCTTTGCTCCAGATCCTCCCCTGGAGTTCAACTCCCGGCGTATTCCCAAAAAACCTTCAGCCCTGGGATCAAATATCGGCCCCCGGGGCTCGGATTTCGTCGGAAAAGCGACGGGAACGGAGGGAAAGGGGGGGAAAAACGGGCTGGGAAAGGAGCACCAAAACCGGGGGCAAAAAACGCCTTCCCGGGGAACAGGAAAAAGGGGAAACGCGGGGTTTGTTCTTCCTTCGGATAAAAAGCCGCCGAAATTCCCTATTTTCCCGCGGATTTTGTTCTCCTGAACCACCTCTAGGCGGGATTTAACCCAAAAATGACCTTCTGCTTGAGCCGGGGGGGAGAGAAGAGGGGGAAAATCAGCATTCTGGGGTTATTTCAGGGATTTCCCGATATCCCGGGCTGGAATATTTCCTCCCAAAGGCCCCACTGAGCCTCCAGAGGGAATTCTCCCTCCCTGGCCCCTGCTCTCAGCTCCTCCAGCTGGAATTAAATCCCAGCCGGAATTAAATCCCAGGCAAACCCTCCTCTTTGAGGACCCCGGGGGTTGTTTTGTTCCCCAGGCTTTGACTCCTCGGTAATTCAAGACCTTCCCCGATCCAGAGCTCCCCAAATCCCTTGGAGCAGGTGAATGAACTCCAATTCCAGGGGCTCCAGTTCCTCCACCTTTTTCAGCTCCACAAATTCCTCCTCCCGGGACGTGCGGTTGTTGATCTCGTCCTCGAACCTGGGGGCAGGAAGGAGGTGGATCATTACCTATTATTAATTAATCTATACAATTAATGTATTATCTATTATCAATTAACCTATTTCATTCATCTATTATCCATTAATCTACACAATTAATCTATTATCTATTATCAATTAACCTATTTCATTCATCTATTATCAATTAACCTATTCAATTAATCTATTATCTATTATCAATTCACCT